TGAATGCGCAGTAGCAAAAGGACATTAATGAATGTATAGATGTACTCAGTTAGAATTAGTGACTGTGCTCCTTACACATTCCTTCACTTCCTATTGGCCACAGCTGGTGTAGAGGCCCATGTTAAGAGAGGCACATTGTACTCTTTCAGCTGCTAACAGAGCCTGAGTTAGATCCCCAGAACCTTCACCTCGCTGCTCTCTTCAGAGGCTGAATGAGAATTTCCTTGCCTGATCTGGCAATCACAGTACAAACCTCAGTGTCTACATCCTCACAAAGGTCTCAACACAAAATATACACCTGGATTAAATATCATTGCAGATTAAATGAAATTTGACTCCTTTGTACTGCTGGAGTAATCTGGAAGCAGGTCCTTCAACAATTTATAACAGATACAATAACCTGTTTATTTAAATTATAACCCCACCATCACCCAAATTATGACCTAGGGGTGAGATTTATATCCAGACAACTTCGCGATAGAAAGTCTGTTCTGTTGAACAGGGTATAATCAGATGGCTAGCGTGAGTATTAGGAAAGCAAATAGAGGGATTATTTTCCACAGAAGACCTATCCATAATAATACTGCTATGTGATGATCACTAAAAATGACTCTGGGGTAACAATTAGCAATGTGTAAGGGGATGGGCAAAAACCCAAAAGATATATAAGTTAGTCAACTTGCAGTGTAATAAAATGAACCAGGACATGAAGAGATACATTTTTCTGTAGTACTTTTAATTTTCTTTTCTTAAATTGTCTGATTATTTTGCAACCAACACAGTTACATGTTTCTCCATGAATGATTCATGGCAGCTTTTTGCTAGGCTGCCTGAAACAAATGAGAAGGGGCCTGGCTACCAAGAGGAGTAACCTCTTCCAAAGCTCTGGGACAGTCAGCTCGGCAGAGAAGAAACAATGCCAGAGGCATTTGAACAGAGCAGGGGGAACACCTGCGTTCTCCAGGTAACAGGACATATTAACTCCTAGTCACTCCAATTACAACAGTGGAATTCAGCCTGAGGCATTCAGATTTAATCTCAAATTTACATGATTAAGCCCTAAACAAGGACAGCCATGTTATCCCCACATACAAGCTTGAAATCTGAATTCCAAGTCTAGTCTAGTCTAGATCACAACCTTTAGCTAACAAGTTGGTAATAGGGCAATCATTTCAAATCCAGATCTTTGCCAAAATGCATTAGATTTGATTCAGCCTTTTCTTATAGTGTATGACTGACTTTTTAAAAATAGAAGAAGCAGGGGAAACACTGAAATTGAGGGGCTGGTGGTTGGGAGGGGAAGGGGGAGCTCTACAAGGAGCCCAGGACAAGGCCTGGGGGTAGAAGCAAGAGATACAAATGAGGAAAGGAGCATGTTAGGGTAAAGAGGGACTGGAACTAGCTGGGCAAAGAACCTACAGAACCAGAAAAAGGTTGAAAAGAGATTGGATGAGAAGTCTGGTTTGTATGGAGGCTAGAATAAGAATCTAGTAGGACAGGGGAAAAAGAAATAGAGAAGACAATTGAATGAGGAGCCAGGAATTGGGCCCGACTCAAGAAGAGAACTTGGGTTGTATAGGAGGGAAGGGGACACTGAAATCAGATCATGAGACTGCAGGGAGAGAATTGGGCAAAGACCAACAAAGATTGGACTAGCTGGGCAAAGACCAGGACAAGAAACCTAGATTAGGGAAACTGGGATTTAGCCACACGCTCAGGCAAGAGAGAAGGACACGTTGAAGAAAAAAAAAAAAAAGACACAGGACACAGGAGGGCAGGAAACAGGCACAAATGTGTGCCACTACAGGGTTTTTGAACCCGAAACCTTGCTTAAAAATTGTTCTCCGCCTATTTAGTTGGTCTAATAAAAGATATCAGATTCACCCGAAGAACCTTGTCTGCCATTACAATGCATTTTCTAATCAATTCCTAATTTAGAAATCTATAGCACTTAAGTCAAAAGAATGTATTAATGCAGTAAGAGTGAAAATACTTCTAATTTAGGAAAAGCCAAGTTACTTGTGCAACTGTAACTCCGGCATCTTGTGCATATGCATTATGATTCAATCTTTAATAATACTCTGGAAAATCAGATTCTATCCCTGCCTATTTCACAGTCCCTGTGTGAATTTAAACAGGTCATGTAAACTGTTCAGAAGCCAACAGCTTGTTGCGTGTTCCTCAATTGCCTCACTCTTGGACCCTGGTGCCTTGTTTATAGAAGTACTAAGTGCTCACAAAAGTACTGGCAACTGAACTCAATGGGAGCTGTGCTCAAAGCATAGAAGGTACTGAGTAATATGAAGTACTCTGAAATATCAGGTTTTAAGCATCTTATATTGGGCACCCAAAAGGAGTTGTTACTTTTGACCTTCATATTTCTATTAATCTACTTCCAGTCTGTAAAATGCAGCTTATAATATCCCTTCACTCCTCAGTGTGTTGTAAACATAAATTAATATTGTGAGGCACTCAAACACAACCGTAGAAAGCGTTGTATAAAAATCCATGAGGAAATTAATACTTCTGTCTGCAGAGCAAGATTTGAAGGGAGCATGGTATAAGGCCTAGGGCCACATATTGAACAGTGAAAGTAAGACAAAATGTCAAACATTAATTGAACACTGCCCACCAGAGGCACTGAATGAGTCAGATGCCCTGTAAAAATATAGCATGTCGTCCTGTAATTAAAGGCTCTCCTACAAATGAGGGGAGATGGGAGTTCAAATTGCAGAACAATCCCAATTCTTTTATTTCTTCACTTTTCAGGGATCAGAGGTACAAACCTAATAATGGTCTTTTAGCATATACTCTGGGTGCAATTATTATGCACAGGGACTTGGGCTATAGAAGGAAGAGTGAAAATTTGGAAGAGCAGCAAAAAGAAGTTTTCACTAGGCTTGATTGTCACAACCTTCACCAGAGAAAAGTTACATTTTACATCTCTCTACGAAGCCTTCCATGTCACTGATTTCATCTAAAAGCTCAGATTAGGTAATGGAAGGGTAAAGTAAAGCTTTGATGTTTAGATTTTAGGTCTAGTTGCTACAACCACAGTAAATTGGTTCTTCAATTGAAAAAGGTGAAGACAGACAATGGATTCATCCCTGAATAAGATGCCTAAACTTGAAAGAAACTGATATAAATGTACTTTGGCTTGTCAAAGTAAGCCATATAAGGTAGATGGGCTATAGAAATGTGGGACTTGCCACACATCAGCAATCAGAGAAGCACTCTAATCAAGACTGCACTTTAAACTTTTATCTTGGAAGGCAACAAAAAGTGTGGCCTGTATCTGATTGGAGAGAACAGTCCTCGATTTCACAGTGTCCTAAAACTTCATTCAAGGTTCTTTTGGAAAGGATAAAGTAAAGTGGCATGCAGTAATTGCCTTGACATACTTCAGGGAAAAATCAATAATGAATATGAGTGAAGGGTCAAGGAAGAAATAGATCCACTTCTGGGCTAACCTAGGGGGCTTAAATCAAACTAACTAGAATTTGATAAACAGTCAAGTCTCTCTCCTCTCTGTTTTCAAATGAACTTTGTTAATTGTACTCCTCCTGAATGGGAAATGCTAATTATGTTCCCTTTACATCTCCAAGCATAATGTAGGCAGGCACTTTTCAAGCTTACCCATGCACTTAGTTCTCCAAAAGCACTGAAATCTTGACCTTTAATATTCCTACTGAATCTCCCCTGAGTGGTGATGAACAGTCACAGCCAGTTTTGTGCTGGATTCTTTATGTTCGCTACAGACTAGACTGAAACTAAAACCCCTTAATTCCCTCCAAACTCAAGTCGAGGGGGTTCTCCAAGGACGCTTGTTAAAATTCTCTCACCAAACTTACAGACAGGCTGGTGAAGTGTCTCCTCCCTTTTGGATACTGTTTGTTGCCGCCCAAGGTAATACAACCTTAGGGCAGAAATAGACTTTTGAAGATCAAAACATCTGAGCTTCAAGCAGAAAAGATGAAGTCAGAGGGTTTGAATTTAAAAAGGAAATTGCCAAGGAAAAGTCCCCTCAATTACCCTAGCAAGGGTTGAAGTTCTGGCCTCATCCAAGGCAAAGGGAGCCTTGTCACAGTGCCAGGATGGCCACCCAAAGGCTCCATTCCAGCTTCTACTCAAGTAAGCTAATACTGCATCATCATATACTTGTGTCTAAATATTTTTCAGCAAAAGCACACTTCAAAAGAAGCTTGTTTTTCCTACGGTGTCCCCTCTTTCCATGGTTATGAAGAAGAAGGAGGTATCTGTTGTTTTCTTTAAACAAACAAACAAAGAGCAAAAGAATAAAGTCAAGAAATTACATTTTTCCTTCACAATCTTTTAGGCTAAGGATGGAAATTGCACATAAACCGATATCATTGATCGGAAACTGGTTCAAAGCCGTAACTCGACAGAAGTTCAGTGCACATAAACTGTCTTCAAAATGGCTGAAACTGATTTAAGATAAACCTGGATGGATGTAGTATCAGACTTAACTGATTTAGGTTCAATTGGTTTACTGAACTTCTGTTCCAGATCCCCTCCAGATTCAAGTTAGCTCACACTGCCCTAGCATCCCAGGATGCTTTGTACCTCCCATGCAAACCCACCTTGCAGGGTGGGCAGGCTAGCCTTGGTCCAAGCTATCTGCTCCAGCAGAGCCGGGAGGCATGGTCTAGTGCCACCTGGCTTCTGGTCTGGGCCACTGCAGGCATGTGGCTACATTTCCAGAATCCAAAGTCAATGTCTGTTCACTTGTATAACAGGGAGCCGAGTTTCAGCCCCACTATGCTCACCTTCCCAGATAAGCCAGACCCAGACGTCCAGTGGCAAGAGTCTTTGCCACAGACATGGGCCCTTTAAAGCTGGCATTTCTCAATCCAGCAGCAGAGGGAAAGTGGAATTCCAGAAGACCCTGGGAGTTTGGGGCCGCTGGGAGGAGGAAAAGCTGTAAGGTACTAGAGAGGGGTACTTTTCCCCCTGGAAAGGGGAAAAAACAGGTGACTTACCTGGCACCAGCACAGAGGTTCTGGCAGGCCATCTGAGAGGGAGAAAAAAATATTTGCAGCTGCTGGGAGAAGGATGTTTCATTCGTTGCTGCTGCTGCCAACTGCTATGATCTGGTAGGACTGCTGCTCTGCAAAGAAAGAAAGTCAGAAACAGAGAGAGTATAAGTGAGAGCCATAAGAGGCCAATAATTAGCCCAACAGAGGGCAGTTAGAGTCCTGTGAACATAAAGTCAAGGAGACAGGAGAACATGACCTCAGTCCTAACTGGGTCAGAGACTGAAATCAGTAGAGCTGCCATGGCAAGGCTAGAAGGTGTTACTAAGAGCAAAGCCCTTGGAGTGAAGGACTTGGGAGCAGGGGGCACCAGCCCTACAGGTGGACTGATTGATTTAGGAGTGGACTGTTTGGAGTGAAGGCAGGGAGTCTGAATACCTCGGGGAAACAGATGATCACCCTGGGGAGAAGTTAATGAAGATAAAGTGAAGAAGCCAAAGTGGCTATATGTTTAAGTTAACTACCGGGTGACTACTTGAGAGATAAGAGAGCCCGGCATTAACTGACAGTTTATGGGAATGATGACTTGGCATGCTCAGGACTGTTTCCTTTAGTCTATGATTTGCGTTGACCTTATGTTTATGATTTGGATGAATCAAACCTGAATAGAAACAGTCCCAGGTCAGGATCTAAAGAGTAGACATGGAGAGGTGAGTGGATCTAACCCCTCACCATTGAACTGTGATTACTGAAAGTGTCATCTGGGTGAGTGATGGACCAGGGTGCAGGGGAGGAGGAACCCTGAACAAGATACACCAGAAGGCAGGTGAGAAGTCAGTGAATAGTACAGCATAAACCCTGAGAAGAGAATACCTAAGAGGAATTTTTCCCAGGGTGCACTTTCCCTTAATCTCCAATAATCCCATCAAGGTATGGCAGGAAAGAAATCAAATGACAAGGGAGTGTTGATCCTAAGTGGGAAATTACCCACAGGCCAAATAGCACCCTGTCACAACTTGCTTACTGGTTCAATCTACGCAGTTGAGACTAACCTGCAAAGATTGAATCGATTCAGCCTTGGGCTTTTTGACCGTCTGTACTTAGCCTTACTGAGCAAACTCCTGCACTCCTGGTCCATGAACATTATTACAGACAAAAAGTTTGGGGGAACCCTCATTAAGTACTGGAAGAACCTCACTGACTATAAGTAAAAAGTGAAATCGGATTTCCCAAGCTTCAAGGCTCATGCATCCCTTCTTTTTCAAAATACAGAGCCAGTATACACTTTGCAGCTCGGGCATAGACAGCATTTGTTCCTCTATTCTTCCAAAATGATTACTATATAGTCATCACATGTAAGTGTTTATTGAATTTGTGACTTTTATGCAGAGAGATTCAGGACCTTAAATAAGAACAAAGGCGGCAAAAATGAAGGGTAGAAGAGAAGAAAGTCAAATTGTTCAAAGAATGCAAGCAGTAAATCATTATTGTAATTCATGGTCTTTATAAAACACTGTAATCTTGCTGTGCTTTTTTGTACCCTATTAGCACCATCTAAGGGAAGAAAATGGGAATCTTTTAAAGGCTGTAAACAATAGTGAAATATTTTCACTGAATTTTAGATGAACCACAAATTCAACTCCAATAGAGCACCGAGAAAGATCAGTATATTCTTAGCTCTACCTAACCTCATGCATAGAAAAAGGCAGTGAGATTACACATAGTAGTAAAATATTTCAGGGAATTATAATGCAACTTCCTAGACTTGTACACATAAATTAAATTGTCACACACAAAGAAAATAAACCAAATTGAGAGAGAGAAAGGTAACCGAGAGCAAGCCCAGGATTTACGTAAAGGAAAATGAAATTAATCAAGAATTAATTCAGAATAGCAGAAGATTAATTTTAGTTTATTTGCATCGTGCTCACTTTTTAATGTTTAAATATTTAGTGGGTTTTCTCATTAAGTCTAAGAAATGAAAGGACTGCGCTCACTCACTGATTTTAGTTTCAAGTAGATATGATACAGGATGTGGTAGTTTAATAATAGTCCAAAATTATTGGTTTTGCTTTGTAATTTTGCATAAGAGAATGTACAGACCATCCTTTTCTTAATGGTTTCTTAATGGCGTTAACCAATCCTGAGTGTCTAAAAGGAAGAGGCTGGAACCATCACAATAACAAAATAACTGGAACGCTGACACAAAGTCACACAAAGATGGTAGAGGTACATGAAGCATCAACTGATCACTGACAAGCAGAGGACCTTCACCTACTGTTCTGAAAGTCAATGGCTTGACTCAAGATTCCATACAGAAGAGGCCAGAAGAAAAGATTTTCACCATATGGATCCCTAGTGGGATAATCACGCTGAATAATGACCTCAGACTGTGGAATGCTAGGCCGCGTATAGACAAAATGAGGGGCATGTGTACATGACACTTGAAAGAGGGTTACATGCTTTTGCACCGCTTTAATGGTGTTGGTGTTTGTACACGTGAGCGGCATATTGTGCAGTAATTCCAGCTGCTGTAGCAAATTTAGCAGTGTGATATGCCTTAAATGACTTGAGGCACAGCAAACTAAAACTCCTCCAAGGAGTTTCTACAGCCGTGGAGCGAAGCACTGGGCTCTATGCAGCTCAGGGGCTCTGCAGGAAGCCCATGCAGGCAGCCTGGCAGCAGCCCAGGAAGACAGGCTCCACCCAAAAAAAGCAGCGAGCCTGATCTTTTTTCTTTCCCTGGAGCCTGCCTGCCTGAGCTGCACAGGGACCTGGTGCTTCCCTTAGCGGCAGTGGTGCCTCCCAGGGCTCCTCCGAGCTGGGTGGCTGCAAGTGGGGGCCGCTGCTACTGAGGAGGGAAGCACCAGCCCCCTCCTCTCTGCCCCCCAACCAGGAACTGCTCCACCTGCCAGCAGCTCACCCTCCCCTCCCCGCCACTGGAAAGGCAGGTAAGTTTGGGCGTGTGCATGACACAGGGGTTTAAAGGGCCCTATATTGAAGCGGTATTTTTTAAAACTCCCTGCTTCAATTTAGGGCCCCCATTTTGTCTACACACACCTCTATACACTTAAAAAAAAGTGGAAGTCTCACCCAAAAAATCATAAAATATTATGATTCAGAGTCTTAGTCAGGCTAATAATGTTGTAGTGCAACCTGACATTACCCATTAAATTATTATTGATTTCATTTCAAAGAAAGAAATGCTGCTCAGTCAATTATTCACTTTAGGACCATTTTCACAATTACCAGGTAGTTCCATTTTGTTTGTTTCTTCATACACTTTGCACTATACTGTCTCTTTCCTTTGCTGCTTATATTCCTGTTTATGTGCTCTAATACCCTTTTTTATTTCTTTAATTTTATAATTTATCAAGCAATTATAATTGATAATAAAAATCTCCCATGAAAAATAACTTTAACAATGGATATAAAAGTAATTTATTAAACAGTACAAGCATCTGCAAAAGGAAAAGGTGCCAAGCACATTGAGGGCAACTGATATAAAGGTGCAGTGAAGTGTTTGTGTGTGTGTATATATTATAGCACCATCATGAGGAACAAGCTATTAATAATGGTTCCTCATTCTAAGTGGGAAAGGTATAATCAGAGCAAATAGCTAGAAGCTGAAGTTAGACAAATTCAGGCTAGAAATAAGGTATGCATTTGTAACAGGGTGGGTAATTAACAACTGGAATTTGTACCAATAAGTTGGGGTAGATTTTCCATTATGGCAAATTTTAAAGCAAAACTAGATATTTTTATTAAAGCTAAGTTTTTCATCCTTTTGAATCCCATGGTCCATTTCCTCACAGTTTCCTCACACTGCCCACAGCCCAACTCTTTCCTCTAGTCCCTTAAACATCCTAGAGCCCACCCCCACTTGCTGTCCTGCAGCCAAATTTCTCCTAGGCCTACGCACAGCCCCTCAGCTGAACTCTCTTGTGTTATCCTTGGTAGACATGTGGCAGTCACCCATGCTAATAAACACTGCAACCCAGAAGACCTAGATGTGCAGCTGAGGTGCTGAACTCACGGCAGCTCTGTGGCTTCCAGTTCAGGACACAGTGCACATGGGGCAGAGCAGCAACTCAAGAGACACATCCTGATGAAACAGGAACATTAAACTTCCATCACGTCCATCGCATGACCCAACTTGAGGAACCCTCCATGGCTGACAAATGCTATTTTAAGAGACATTCTCTGATTAAAATAAGAATTAATTCAGGCAAATATTACAACCCCAATGGTCCCTCCTGACCATATAATACATAAAAGGACATGATAGGGACTTCAAGATTTAAATTCCAAGGATCCTTCTTATAGCTCTGCCAAGTAAGTCTAGTCCCTCTTATCTAATGCTGATTAACTAATTGGCCAAATTCCCTTTCTTTCTCTATTTGCTAACAATCCACAACCAGAAAGCAATTTTCAAAAACTGATCACCTATTTCATGATTTACTAAATAGGTTCCATGGCTCTGTGACATGTTTATGCACCATTCACGCTGAATATCCAATATCGAAGTTGATTTGAGACATAGCTTAACTGCTGCTTTTCCATTTCCTGAATCAGTGTAAGTAGATTTTCGGTGTAAATACCCACAATGAAAAAGGTGAAGTTTGTTTTCTCTAACAGTTCTGCAACATTTAAGAACTATTTCAGCAAATGCTCCAACCCATAAACTTAGCCCATAAAATATTAAAAACAACAAATAAAAGAGCACATATGTTAATTCAGTTGGAATTAATTTGTTTTGTAGTGTACTTTTACTAATAGGTTAGATAACAGATTTGCATGGGATGGCTTGGATAGGAAAGATCCTCTCTCAGGCAGGGAACTGGACAAAATGGCCTCTGGAGATCCCTTCTAGCCCTACATTTTTATGATTTCTATGATTAATTTAGAAAGAAACTAGTAACTTTGGATGTGTTTTGTTAGTATTTGTTCAGCACAAAACTGCTGGTCAATTGAAATAATTTTGAGATTTGAAATACATTTTGAGCCCCTAAACAGTAAAAGAAAAAAGTCTAGAAGCTTTCACAACTAGGCAAATGGAAGCGTTTTACCATGTTATTCATATGTTCTATTCAACCAGCCTGCAACTTCAAATAGAGTAATCACCTTCATTCTT